CCCCAATCCCCAAAACCCCAAAACCCCAAAACCCCTTAGCCAGCGACCTAAATTGAATTAAGGAAATTGGAGATTTCACTTGGAAATGGGTGGGTCAAGGGATTTTTGATGTGTTTAGGAGCACTTTTAGGAAGAAGGTTAGGATGTATCGTAAGATTTTAGTAAGGATTCACGGTTGGAGATATCTTCTTCGGGTTTAGAGATGTTTTCTGAAGTGTTCATGGCTTTTTCTAAGGGGTCTCTTTGATTTCTCAGTTGTTTAGGGTTTTGGCATAAGTGTAATAAATTAAAAGTAATGAAAATCAGTAAAGATAAGATTGAGATACCTGAAAATAGATCGGTAAATCCTCTATATCCAATTCCGGCAGAAATACGAGGGGATATTAGTGGTCCTAACATTGTTCCAAGTCCAAAGGAGAGATTAAAGGCTCCAGAGATATAACCTGTTGTTGTTTTGTAATCAAATTCTTGTTGCTCCTTCTTAGTTTCACTCATATTATCATCTTTAATTTCGTATTGAGAAGCATATTCTTGCATCAGAGGAATATTGGTAACTATTAAACTTGCGTAGGAGATACCAAAGAAAGAAAACCCAAAAAGGATCAGCCAAACTCTTTCAGGGAAGTGAAATAAGCCTGATGGTCCAATCAACAAAAATCCAATTGCCAAAAAGATCCAGCCGAATCAGATTATTATCTTTCTGTGACTTATCTTTGTGAATCTATGAAGAACCAAAGAAGTAAAGGTAAAAGGAACATTGGAGAACAAGAAGGTTAAACCTTTTAGATACTCTGGAAGTTTTAATTCTTCGAACCTATCTGCCACCAATGCAGACGGAGCATCAATCAGCAACATTGCTAACCCTGCACCAATGATACATCCGATTATCCTCAAGTCTCTAAAAATATGCCAAGATTTATAAGTCATTGATTTTGGAGTTTCTTCTTGCTCTTGTTCTGCTTCATCTTTAATATCAGGTACAAAAATGACGATAATTAGGGTGACAATCAGCATTCAGGCAGAAATTACAGCAAATGTTACAAAGAAGCCAAACCATTTAAAAATGAAGGTGCTTGCCAAAAGACACACGATTGGACCAATTCCAATGCCTGCTTGAATTCTTCCAATTCCTTTCTGAATATTGTCCTTGTACAGAATTGTTGTGTAGGAATAGGCTGCAGTCGTATAAGAACTCATTCCTGCCCCTACTATTAGCCTGCTCAAAACACTAAGAGTAAGAAAGATTTGTTTATTCTTCACAAAGTCCAAGGTGGCAAATATGAAAACACCCACTGTAAGGGAGAGTTGTGAAACAGCCAGATAAGTCTTCCTTCCAAATTTCTTCATTAAAAATGGAGATGCAATTGAGAATATCATAAACGGCAAAGAGTTTAGTCCAATGGTCAGTCCAACCAAGCTCTGGCTCAAATCTCTGTCATGAGCCAGCTTTGGAAAGTATGCAAAAGTAGTGTAAGCATATCCCATTACTAATGAGACTCCAGCTGCAAGAATAATAATCACGACTAGTCTATTGATCATCAGTTTATGAATATAGTCCGATAGTTAAATTAATATTTTATTCATGACGTTCATTCAACCTAAAATACCAATTTTGGGGTTTTGGGGTTTTGGGGTTTTGGGGTTTTGGGGTTTTGGGG